AAATAAACAAACAAACAAACAAACAAACAAACAAACAAACAAACAAACTGTAATGGCAGTGTGGTGCAGCAAAGAGAAAAGTTGTTCTGAATACAAGAGGTTCAGGTTCAAAACCCTGTCCAGCAATAAAGTTTACTGGACTGCCCTGGGCTATCAACTGAATCTCAAACCTTATATACGACACAAGATGTAATCAGTAGATGTCGCACTCTGGTTTGGAGTATGTCAAATACCTATGAGGCCAACAGGATAAGTGCCCATCTCTAATGGCAATAAGGTAGTTCAATGAGGAACTCAAATTAAAGTGCCTTCTAAAATGGCTGATTATCTTTTGATTATCACTCTTCTGTTCGAACTGTGGATAGAAAAAGAAACCCAGAATGCCAGGAAGAAGAAATCATTTCCTCCACCAAAGCCTTCCCATAAAGAAGGGAAAGAAATATATTGGATTTATATTTCCATAGATAAACACATATTTTTGCATCTCCTTGGTTTGCCAACATAAAGAAAAGTTTATAACCTTATAAATTCAGACAGTTGCAAGGCTTGTGTTGCATTCTGGAGAGTAGAAATGGGCACAAAAATATGTAGAAGTATGTTTTTCCCCATAGGTGGACAACGGTGGTTGTACACATTACTACCCTGTAATTCCCATCAACTCTAACCAGGACAACCTATGAGCAAGGACTACGGAGATTGCAGTCCAAAGATATCTAAACAGCTGCAGTTCCTCATCATTACTTTAGTAAATTAAAACAAAAAAATGGCTATAAATTTCTGTGCTTGGAGGAAAACCTAACTCTTTTGCAACGTGGTCCAGAAACAGGACAGGACAGGAATGTCAGTGGAAAACCTAGAAACTAAGGCCTTCACATTCCTACATGTAGCATTTAAAACTTACTTTTGAATTAAAAGTAGTAAGAGTTTGTTGTTTTTGTGAGCTTTGAACATAATCTTACTGATTATGCCAAGTGCATCTTTCACACTGATGAAATGATCAAAACGAAAGGGAAGTTAAATAATTGGTTGGATTTTTCAAAAGAAATAAAAGTTAAAATCTGAAACAATTTACTGACACTGCCCCCTGCTGGAACTGTTAATGTTGTATGCTTGCACACCAGCAAGCAGGTGCATTACAAGTACACTGATTCCATTCTAAATTTCTTTCCACCAGTCTATCTCAAGTCCCCATTGCTTCTTCCAATGTTGCTTTAATCAAGTCAAGCAATTAAAGAAATGCATGAATAGCCCTTCCCGCTAGAATCCTCCACTTCTCATACGGGTGACTAGCAAGTTGGGAGCCCATCCAAACCATAATAAAAAGAGAACTGTTAGTTTGCCTGAGCAATCTTCACCCTGCACTATAGTTACAAAATCAACTAAAAGAGCAAACTTTTCTCTTTTTCATGGCTGACATCACATAGCTGCTTTCTCCCAAAGTGGTGCCTCACTTAGCGACGTAAATCCATGCAGGAAAAAATGCTGCTAAGCGATTTCATCGCTAAACGGATTTAAAAAGCCCATAGAAACACATTAAAACACCATTAATGCGTTCCTATGAGCTTCAGAACTAACCTTAAGCAAAAATCCTCCACGGGGCGGCCATTTTCGGTGCCTCTAAAGCGAGGCAACACAGCAGGCGGTCATTTTGTTTTTCCGGTGGCCATTTTGAAACCGCTGATCAGCTGGCCGAAAATGGGGGCTTTGCGATGATTGCTTCCCGGCAATCATCGCAAAGTGAATTTTCCCCATAGGGACCATCGCTAAGCGACCGCATTTGCGATCGCTTAAACTCCATCGCTAAGCGATTTCATCGCTCAATGGAGTGCTCGCTAAGCGAGGCACCACTGTATACTTTCTTCAGTCACCTGCTATTTCGTGTTTCACTTGGTGGATTCATAAGAGGCTACAGTAAAACTAAATCATAACACAATTTCCCATCCCTACTCCAAAACATAAATGGCACGTGCATTCATGAATCAGTTCAAGACAACAAGGACATGCAGAGATGTATGGCCGGATCTCAGCAAGTGAAACAGGCAGCAATGCAAGAGAGATGCAAGTGGCAGAGAAAGCCAGAAGTGGTAAGGGAAGCCACATTACATCTTCAGTTTATTTACTTACCTGCACACTTAAAACTCTGGGCAGTCAGTCCTCTTTCCAAAGACAAGGTGGTTAAGATGCTGAGAAAACTAGTGGTGACAGACTGGCGCTTGACCTTCCTATGCTCTTTTCCATGAGACAAACCTTGGATTTTGTTTCTGAGTGTCACTTGCAGGTTTTGACCAAGGCCAGCTGCCCTGGCAGCAGTTTTCAAGGCATCCATCCATTCCTGAGCCCTTTGACGTGTTTCTGCCCGCAGACGGAGCACATCTTGAGGGAAGATAACCTGAAAGCAAGAGTCACAGTCATCCAGGGTATCAGTCTCTACCGAGAGGCACACTTCAATATTGTAGCTACACAAAGGGTCTTCATCAAGCCTGCTGGTCTGAAACGCCATGAGGAGAGGAGGGCTGAGCACAAAATGGAATGCTTTCCAGTTGTTCTGAAGTGTCAGCCTGTAAAGAGTCCCTGATTTAAGAACATCTTGTAAGTCCTTGATATTTGGGGTCAAAGATGTTGACTGCAAAAATTTGGAAGGTTCCTTCTGAAAGACATGGTTTTGAGTGATGCCACTATCCTCATTATCAAGCTTCTGTGTGTTCTGCAAGTCTCCTGGTGGCCTCAGGAAAGATGGTACCGAAGAATGCACAGCTTCCCGAAGCTTCTGCCCCCAGTCTAAGGCTTCCCAGGGGCATTCCGCTTTGAGCTGTAGATGTGAGTTATTGAACAGAACTGCATCCACTACACTAGTTTCCACAGTGATACTCTGGAAATGCAGGAGCAGATAGACAGTGGGAAGGGTCTGGTTACCGCTGTTGTCCAGCCAATATAGGTACAGTTCATACGGCAAGAGCTCAGCATAACAAGTCTGCCAGTAGGTATCATGGTTGCTCTTAATTTCCAAATACCCTTTCTTTAAGATATTTGAGAACGTTGGCTTGTGCTCTAGAAAAGAGTTCAAAGAAATATATTTTAAAAAGAAATATATTTTAAAGATCAAATTGCTCTCCCTCCTTCATGCTTGCTCTGGCAGAAGGGATATTGGCTGACACCAGTCTCACCATAGTTCAAGCCCTTCTGATCAGCCTGAAGTGTTCTCCCACATCCACCCCTGCTTGGATTTTAAGATAATCTTTGGAGTGCCTTTTCTGGGTATTCTCGCCTCATTACAGTGGGTGGCTTCTAGAGCCAGAGTGCACAACCTCCAACTCTTGGCTGCTCCCTCTACAGCTGCTGGATGGCTTCATAATCAGCTACAATCTCATTATGGAGGAACACCACTTACTTTCTTCTACAAGTTGAAAAGTTTCCCATCTCTCTGTACTAAAAGTGGAGTGTGCCTGTCCTTCCTTTTGCATAGTACAGTCCCATGCCATGGGGGTCAGAGGCATAGGAGGATTCAAACCCTTGCCTATAAGGATGGCTAAGAACTCCACTGGCATATGTACATGGTCACTGCTGGCGATGGCCCCAGGGCTGACAGAATGGAAGCACCAAGGTATCATCTTACACACTGTGTGTGGTGATGCATGGGTGTCTGTTGTGGATGAGCTCCCACTGTCAAAAGTTCAGCAGCTCCCTGTGAGAATGGATTGGTGGGGATAGATGGATAGGGGTGTGTGTGTCATTTCATATGTTTCTTCTCCAAGATCAAGCACATGCTGGATACAGAGTGGCTCTCCCACTGGCATGGGAAGCTTCATGTCACTCATCCTCCAGACATAACATGAATGTCATTGCTCCACCCAAAATTTATCTTACAAAAAAAAGAGAGGTTTAATTCAAATAAATTGTAGGGTGGGGGAGGTAATTAAACTGAATCCAAAACAGAAGAAAGAAAAAAAATGGAAGGAAAAAAGGAAGGAAGGAAGGAAGAAAAAAGGGTTTTTTGATGAGACAAAAGAGTATAAGAAGAAACCAATTTTATTTGCCTTCCATCTCTGGCCCTGACATTCATTAGGATTTCAGAGCTAACTCAAAAGCCATTAATTTCTTTGAAAACCACACTAATCCCTTTGTAGTGCAGATAATGGGTAGACATTCTACAGTCATCTTCCCTTTCTGTTAATCCAATAAGGGAAACAGCACAGCGACTGCAGAACCCCCTGCAACTTCACTCCCTTGTCTTCATTTCCATAAAGCGCAGATGACACTTCAAGCTTCTCCACATTTTATACCACATCCACCATGGCTTCCCCCCCTCCTCAGCTACCACAGAGCTTTGCTTGTCTTTTGATGAATGGGAGAGAAAAGCTGTCTCTCCTCCCCATCTTTCACAGCCAGGCGGTCTCTCTGCCAGCCCGTCCGTCTCAGGCTCCTGTGAACTGTCTATATCCACTCCCACTTCAACTGGGACAATGGCAGCGCTGAGTATGATTAACATCGAAACATGGCCCTGCTGTTCAGGTCGGAGCGGTGGTTGCTGGCACGGACTGGCTGAATCGCAGCTCCTGTCCTTGGGCCAGCCATCTCCCTCCCACCACCTCACCTGCCTGATGTAAAAAAAAACACCAAACAACATTCCGCACCCTCCTCTGCCGTCCATCCGCCAACATGAAAACAGTGCTTCCCTTCACTTTGGCCAAACAAGGAAATTAAATTGAGGCACAGCAAATCCAAGCCCATCATAGTAAATAGAAGATAATCACACCAAATAGCCTACATCTGGGGTGGCCTCTTTTTTTCTGAACTGTAATTTCTCCAGAAATAAGGGCGAAAAGAAGAGCAAAGCTGAGAAAACACCAGCTGGGAGCAGTGGCTGATTTCTTTACCTGAAGATTACATCCCTTATCTTCTTGTATTACATCTCATTATATGTGTGTGCGTGCATCACATTTTGAAAACAGTTGCTAAGAGCAGCTAAAGTTCCCCTCTTGTTGTGTCCAAACAGTCTCTCTAGGCACTGGAGAAGACTCAATTGGAAAGTGCTCTAAGCAAAGCCTGGATCACCTTTATCATGGCCAGCATTTTTCTTGTGTTTGCTTGCAAATAACCCAAGCATTTCCCTGCTGAGTGAGACTGGAGGTTCATCTCATTCAGCACCCACTTTGCACAGGACCAGCTGGATGCCTTCAGGCAAAGTGGACAACCTAGGGCCACCCAGATGCTATTGGACTACAATTCCCATCAGCCCTACTTAGCCAACACAATGAATGATGAGCGATGATGTAAATGCAATCCAACAGCATTTAGAAGGCCATGTTGCCTGCTTCTGCCTTAAGGAAAACTATATCCGTTTCATGAAAGTAACAGCATTTCCCCATTGTTAGTTATCAGAATACTATCAAAATATAAAGCAAAAGGTTTCTGCAAGGTACAATATTTTTTGAAAGCTATTTGGAACCAGTTGGGTATGCAACCACAAACGTTAAGAACAAGAGCCTCGGTTCTAAGCTGTTCTGCAGGTGAATATGCCAGCCTGGTTTGATGTAGTTCAGCAGATGCATAACAGGAAGTGTTAATGATGGTTCTTGGAGAATAGTGATGGCTCCCTGTCATCTTGGCAAATAGTCCAGTTGAAATTCCACTTCTGCAAAAGTGAAATGGCCAGAGAAGTGAACAGGACTGCCCCTAAGTGTCCTCTCCCACTTGCAGAACTTGCCCACTGGAACTAGTGATGCTGAAACAAGTTGGACAGAGATGAAAGTGTCCATGGCAGAAAATGAGGAGCAGGGCTGACCAAACATGGCCTAAAGCCTACTGCAAAGCTTATTGTGTAGGAGTGAAGAACTCCCTCATTTATGTCAGTGGTTCTTAACCTTGGGTTATGCAGGTGTTTTTGAACTGCAACTCCCAGAAATCTCAGCCAGCACAGCTGGTGGTGAAGGCTTCTGGGAGTTGCAGTCCAAAAACACCTGAGTAACCCAAGATTAAAAACCACTGATTTATGCCATCATTGCCTCTGTAGAGTCATCCAGCAGAGGTGTTTCAAACGGTCAAGGACCTATTGCACTGTGGCTAACAATCAGAGAATATGAACCACTCATCTGTCCATTATGAAGAATCTGTTTGACGTGTTGCTGATAAAACTGCTGAGATTTACTCTTGACTAGAATGATGTTGTTGACACAGGTTGTGGGAACTTTGGCCTCTTCTTGTCCTCTAACAGACTAATTTCAAGTTTGTGAAGCCTGAGAATCTGGACAGGATCCTTGGAGAGGGGAAAAGCCACCATGTGTGTATTAGATCCTTGCCCATTCCAGCTTTAAAAAAAAAGTCAAGAGGAAGGACTGGCTGAACTGGCAAGGGAATTAGTGAATACTTCTTTAGAACAAGACAGGATCCCAGTCTGCCTGAAAGACAGTGACAACACCTCTATTGAAAAACCCTTTCCTGAGTCGCACTATACTACAGTGGTACCTCTGTTTACGAACACCTTGGTTAATGTTCAGTTTACGAATGAAAATCCATTGAAAATAATGCCTCGGTTTACAATTTTTTTCACAATACGAAGCAAGCTTCCCCAGTTTGCTATGTTTTAAAAGTTGATGTGTGATGCTTTAAAAGTTGAATTTTGAAATATTATTGCTTGATTAAGTATGTCTCTGTGCAGTATTTATGCCTTTAAAGCGCACTTTATAAAGAGTTTTGAACAGATAAAATCCTTTTTTTAAAAACTTTTTTCTGACCTTCGGAACAGATTAATTGGTGTTCAATGTATTCGTATGGGAAACCGTATTTCGGTTTACAAATTTTTCGCAACACAAAATGTCCCAGAGAAAGCATTAAATTCGTAAACCGAAGTACCACTGTAGATCATTACCAGCCAGTCCCGAACACCTATTCTGGGGCAAGGTTCTGGAGCATGTGGCAGCTTTTCAGTTCTAGGAGTTCCCAGATTAGACAAACTATTTAGATCTATTCCAATCTGGCTTCAGGCAGGGTTATGGGACAGTAACAAATCTGGACAGTGGGAGTGTGTCCCTGTTGGTTTTACTGGATCTCTCAACAGTTTTTTTATATGATCGACCAGGATATCCTTGTGGTAATCTCCCCAGAATGTGATTTGGAGACATTGTGTCCTTTCTGGAGGGGTAAACTTGGTGCCAAAGGATATTCCTGCTTGACACCCTGGCCATCAGCCATTTGCCTCTGGGCTCCTAAAGATTCTGTTCCATTCCCCACCAGTATACAGATTACACCCAACTCTTATTTCTGCTTCCCATCAAATTCAAGATAAGCTATTTTGATTTTAACCCAGTGTCTGCCATCAGTAACGGACTGGATGAGATCAAACAAGCTGAATCTAAATATAGACAAGAAGACATGGTCCTGGTCAGTCAAAAGGCAGATCAGGAAATAGAGATACAACCTGTACTGGACAGGCTAAACCTCTCCTTGCAACTCAGGTTCGCAACTTGGAAATGCTCCTGGATTCAACCCTCAGCCTTAATTTCCAGGTCTCAGCAGTGGCCAGGAGTGTGTGCACAGATCAAAACTACTACAGCAGATCAGGCGCCCATTCCTTAAGATGCCTGATCTGGCTGTAGTGAGATACACCTTAGTTCTATCCCATTTGGATTACCGCACAGAATTTTATGTGGTGTTGCATTTGGAAGTGATTAAAAATGTTACCAGGTCCTTTCCATGAGAAACCAGGCTGGCTCTTCTTGTGCTCTTTCTCCATCAGCAGTCAAAGATATTTCTTTTTAAACAGACTTTTAGTTAATTACTGGCTGCTAAAGGAAGGGTTTTAATGGGGGAGCTTATGTGTAATGCTTAGAGATGCACACAAACCACAATTTGGCAGTGCACCCACATAGGTGTTATGTGGATGCCACACTCTCCCCTCCCCTGCATGCTTGCCCATTCCCCAGGAAATGCACGCTTCCGCCACCGCCTTCTCAGCAGGACTGCCCATTCACAGATTACAGCATGCACTTCCCTCCTCTGCCTCCACTGGTAACTGCCCACTCAGACAAGGTGGTGGGGCGGGGAAGCCTACAGCATTGTCTTTGAGTGGGCAGCCGCTGGAGGAGGTGGTGAAGCACATGGTGTGATCTGTGAGTGGGCAGTTACACTGAGGGGGCAGGAGGTGCGCATCACTCGGGGAATGGGGAAGCACGCAGGAGAGGCTGGAAAGAGGAGCACATGGTGCCCACAAAACCTATGTGGACACAGCACCAAACTGGGTCAAACTGCCAAACTGCAGTTTGTGTCCAACTCTAGTTATGCTCTTAAATATGCTTTTAAACTGTAATGTGTTTAGATCCTTAAATGGCTTTCTATTTTTTTTTAAAGGTCAATCTTCTATGACATACTGTATTTACCCCACTGTAACACCATCCGTGTAAATTTCAGTAGTGAAAGGTCATAAGTTAAGAAGTCGATGTAAACACTTGCTGTTGTGCCCAACTCCTGTGACCAGTCAAACATTCTATGGCCAGTGATCAAGAATGCCCAAAAATGACAGTTTCTCGTCTTCATTGCTTCATTGAATCATCTGAAAGCCTTGCTCTCCAGTTTTGCAGAATAAGAATGACAACCCTCTGATCTGAAAGTAGGTGCCTTTTGCCTTGCTGTTCTGTCCTGAGAAAGCATTCAAATTTCTGGCAGCCAACTGCTCCCCCCACCCCGCCAATTAATTTGCACAGCCTTGCTGTTACTACTAGCAACATGCTGTAATTCACAAGAGACAGCATAAAACAAGCACTCATACGCTAACATTATACTTCAACATTCATGAATCTAGCTTTGTTACAGCTATTTTACTGTTTCTGCACCTTGGTAAGATCAGAATTCTGTTTTACCCACTTGGCCATGCAACAAAACTGGAGAGTGGAGAGAAAATAGCAAGGATAATAATACAGTATTTTTGCTGTGAACACAGAAACTGGTGAAAGAAATCTAAACAGAAGCACTAAAGTGTTAGCTGCATTTTACCATGCCCTGCAAAGACATGCACTTCACCCTGTGATTGTAAACTTCTGAAAGTAGCTCTGGGGTCCAGTGGCAAAGGGACAGCAGAGGCTGGGCATATTGGGACACAAACCAATTAAGCTTTATCTGTATGGACAAAAATAGCTGGTTAAGGAGACCTACATAGACTCACATTGAGTTAGTTGATCTCAGTTCCCAATGAAATTAATAGATCAGGGGTCAGGGAACTTTTTTATCTTTTACCCCTTTAAAAAATTATATACACTGACATTACCCCCTTGATTTGAAAGGAAGGATCTCGGTCATGTGTGGCCAGTGGAGCACTGCGCCCACAGCCTTGCCACCCACACCTGGGCCTCCTCCTCCTCCTCTGCCTGGCGGGGCAGCACTCAGTCCTTGGCCCTGCGGGGGTGGCTTCCTTTATCTGCTGGCGGGTGGCTCCTGGGTGGCTGTCGAAGAGCAGCAGGTAGCTTGTGCACCAGGGGCGCCCAACGCCGCTTCCCACTTTGGCACCGGCTCTGGCGGCTGCTCGCCGGGGCAGCCGCGTCAGGGCTCCGCAGGCCTTGCTGTCGAAGTGCTGCGACAGCTACCACAAGGAGGGCGAGAGGCTCCGCCGGGCCCAGTCAGCCGGCATGGAGGCAGCAACAAAGGAAACCGTGCGGCCAGGCGAGTGCCGCTGCCACCCAACGGGTTCCTCTGGAAATGGGGTATGGGGCAGTGGCGGCTGAGCCTGGCCTGGGCCACTGTCATGGCCGCACCCGCCCCCCCCTCCGCCACAGTCCACCTCTCCAGGCACTGGAAGGAGAGGCTCCTCCAGGCTGGAGCACTCTGACCACTCGCCCGGCCTCGCCCTCTGCCATGGCTGGCCCTACCACCACTGCCTTGGCTGCCATATGCCACCAACTGGGGCCCACCGCTGGCTGCCATCCACCATGGTTCAGTTGCAGCCGGGCTGGAGAAGGAGGCAAAAAGGGGATGATCAGGCACCCGGGGACCCCCCTCCGGGCAGAGGAGGAGGAGGAGGAGGGGAGGGGATTAGGGTCATGTCCTCATTACCCCCAGGATTTTCATTTTTACCCCATTTGGGGTAATTTACCCCTGTTCCCTGACCACTGATCTAATGCTAAGTCAAGACTAATTTTTCCTTTTGATTTCCAGCAGACACAGATTCAACAATGATGTCTTGGATTCATCCCATAATCTTTATCAAATACAACATTATTCAGATTTTGTTACATACTGCCATATGAAGAACTTTCACACATGGTGCAGAACTGGGCTCCTTTCCTGCCAAATCTATCATAGTTTGACCAACCTTCTCTCATGCTGCACTTCCATATAACAATAATCACAACCATAACTTTTCAAAGGATGTTTCTTTCCCAAGACTATGAGGTGAACAACTTCCCTACAGCCACCTTCTGAATCCATGTGGGACTGGTAACTGAAGCTGGACTTGCAGCTCCTTCACTGGCTCTTTGAACAAGTCCTTTTCTTTCTCAAGGAGCAAGAAAGCAGGGGGAGCAGTAAGTTGCAGTAAAACATCAGAACTTACGTGTGTTCCCTTGAATATCTTCTCCCTTTTTGAACCCAGCTGGTGCAAATGAAATTTTTGGACATTGTTTACTCTGGTTAGATAGCTGCTGTGGAGGAGCACCAGTTATGATGACACCCCAGTCTACACGGCTGATATCTGAGCGTGACCGGTTATGGCCTGGTTTGAAAGTGGCAGCTTCCTCACTCTGTACTGTAATATCATTCACAGAACGGGGTCGAACCCTCCTCCGGCAGATATTAAGGATGTTAAAAGTGGACGCCTCCCTTTGCTCCATCCAGGACAGGTTGTCTGGAACTGTTCCCTTTTGCACTCCAAACCGTTCTTTGGCAGGAAATGCAGTCTGCGCTTTGGTTTCTGAGAGCCCATTCTTGCAGTGTTCCCAAGCAAGATTGTTCTTCCCCAAAGAAGGGATGTTCCTCAAGTCCCCACAATTATTGAAGACTTCATGTCCGAGCAGTTCAGGAACTTCCTGAATCCCATAAACCTCTGGTGGCTGCACATTTTCTAGCTTAGCATCAAAAGTAGCGAAGAAATCCTCAGTCACTTCCAAGGCAGGACTGATGTCATCAACTTCTAAGGCCTCCATTTTGTCTGGAGTCAGAAGAGCTGAAACTTTGGGGCTATTTTGCCAAAACGCCACATGAATGCTGAGGCACAAGAGAGGAAGCGGCCTCTGGGGAAAATGTTGATCCTGGTTTGGCCTGGACCCAACATAGTCACTATTGCCACAGGCATCTGACTTCAATTAGATTTATGTTTGTTTACCTTCCTAAACATCCCAACTGCATAGGAAGGTGTTAATCGTTCAACAACTGTTTTGTTCATCCACAGTATCAGAATTTTCCTGTAAAACAAAGCACAACATGGTTTTGTTACTTTGTCCTCCCATTGAAGTTTGTTGGGGAAATAGTCAGAATCATGCTGGTGGGACACATACTGCTTTCCAAATCTTAATGGTAAAAAAAACAAGAACCATGAAAGGTCAGGGTTTTTCCGAGTACGGATTGGAACTACATCAAAATTATTGAAGTGGAAAAGTGAAATTAGAAGCTCCTGGCTCCGGTGGGCCCAGACACCTCAGGTTGTACATGGCAGCAAACTGTATGGAGGCCTGCTTTTTCCTATACTGTATAAACTTTTTCACCAACTGAGAACATCATCTGAGGTCCTATTCTATGAATTAACAGAGAGGGGGAGTGTTATGTTCTGGCACCCTATCCACAGAATTCCCCCTCCTGGCATCTTTGTCTAATGTCACAATTATTTTATTTTGGACAACAGGCCTAGACTGCCTTATTTATCCAATTTTTAACCACAAATGTCACTGCATGAGTTTGCTTCTTCAGCTCTTATTGTAATGTGATCTTAAGTTTAAAAAACAAACTGCTACCATTTTTTTAGATCTTGCACTTCCATCAACAAATTTATTACAGATCTCTACCTGGTGGGTTTTAAACGTACTGGTACTCAAAGTCTCTTTAGGGGAAGGGGACAATTAAGCAGGTCTTCCCCCTTCCTCCCAAAGGCTAATGAATGTCATCCATTTCCAAAGGCTTTTCTGGAGTCTACCAAAATACTGACTGATCTGCTAGACAGGGAAAGGCTCTCTACAGTTGATACAATCACTCTTAAGCACTCACACACCCTTGAACAGAGTGAAAAAGACTCCTGGGTTTTCCAGGGAGCTGCAGGCGATGAAGTGAGTAAGAAGGCAACCGGAGCAACACGCACAGACTGGGTAGGATTCAACTGAGACTAAAGAGCATTTGATAGATACTCTAAATCAGGGGTGTCCAAACTTTCACTTTCCCCGGGCCACATTAGAAGATGAAAATTTGGTTTGGGCCACACATAAAATAACAGTAACGATACCTGACCTTCCAAAAAACCATAGAAAACATAGTTAACATATTAAACTTATTTAGAAATGAAGTTAGTGAGATGTTTGACATTGTTTCTCAGGGAGTGAAACACACTAGCTTTTACTGACATTCTCGACATCGTTAATTTTCCCCATGGAGATGATCAAACATAAGCCCACAAGGACTTGCTTTCAACCAACATAATCTCTTTCCTGCACTTCTTTTCATGTTAAAGTTTGTGACATTTAATATGCCAGTTTAAGGGGAGGTCTACTGCCAAAAGAAAGTTAAATCTTACTTTTCTGAGTTGATTAGTGGTCTATTTCCAAAAAGGTCCAGCAGCTAGCAAGGACCCGGCATTTCTGTTGAGCTGCTTTCCCCTTCTCAGCAACCATACACGCCAACCAGTCTTGTGAGGTACAGAAGACACAACCACAGATGGAAGACACAGTCGACTCCTTTCAAGAGGGTTTTTTGACTCTTGAGTGTCCCGTGGACTGCAAGGAGATCAAACCTATCCATTTTGAAGGAAATCAACCCTGAGTGCTCACTGGAAGGACAGATCCTGAAGCTGAGGCTCCAATACTTTGGCCATCTCATGAGAACACTCCCTGGAAAAGATGCTGATATTAGGAAAGTGTGAAGGCAGGAAGAGAAGGAGACGACAGAGAATGAGATGGATGGGCAGTGTCATAGAAGCGACCAACATGACTTTGACCAAACTCCGGGAGGCAGTGGAAGACAGGAGGGCCTGGTGTGCTCTTGTCCATGGGGTCACCAAGAGTCGGACACGAAGAGCTCCAGAGCTTATTTTTGGGGTAGAGCTTACATTACAAGCATCCTGAAAAATCGTACTAGGGCTTATTTTCAGGTTAGGTCTTATTTTCAGGGAAACGGTATTTAAAATATTTCCTGGTTTGCTTCACCTATGGCGTTGCTCTGTATTTCTAAGATGCACTACAATCCTAGTCATGCAGGCTGAGAAACAAGCTGCACTGACTCCACGGGAGCATGCATATACAGTGGTGCCTTGCTTAACGGCGATAATCCGTTCCAGGAAAATCGCCGTTAAGCAAAAACATTGTAAAGCAAAAAAACAACACTGAAACGCATTGAATTCCCTTCAATGCGTTCCAATGGGGTCAAAACTCACTGTCCAGCGAAGATCCTCCATTGGGCAGCCATTTTTGCTGCCTGTCTTGTGAGGAATCCATCCCAGAAAACAGTGGGGAGCCATTTTGTTAACCCGGTGGCCATTTTGAAACCGCCGATCAGCTGTTTTAAAATTGTCGTTTTGTGAAGAATCGGTTCCCGAAGCAGGAAACTGATCATCGCAAAGCAAAAAAACCCCATTTAGACCGCATTAGATCTTTGTAATGCGGTTTCATCATAATGCGGGGCCATCGTAAAGCGAGGCACGACTGTATATACTTCTATTTTATTTACTTGTTCCACTTCTGTTTTGCCTTTTTCCCTAGTATGTGTGCTTAGAATTTATTTCCAATCCTAGGCGTCCAAAAAGGGCCGAAGGAGGGGGGAGGACATACATCAGGACACAGCAGGTGCCCCTCCAATTCAAACCGCCCCTCAGAGCAAGGGAGGGAACTGGCGGAGGAAAATGAAGGTCCGGGTTCCTGGGTGCAGTTCTGCAGATTCCCCCGGACCGCCCACCCTCCTTTCCACAGACAGCTGCATTGAGGCACTTTACTTTCCCCTCCCCCAAGAGTGACAGTCGGAAGTCACCCCTCAGTCTCTCCGCTCCGCTCAGCCTCAGCTGGCTTCCATCTTACCGTTGGTCAGCTCCCGGCCAGACAGATTCAACTGGCCGCTCTTTCGGGCTGCCCGAATCAGTCCGAGGGACCGTCGCACTGGCAATCGCCTCGCCATTGCCCCGCCTGAAGCCTGCGCAGGAAGGTGCCACTGCCCACCTTCGCACGCCAGATATGGCTGGCCACCGCTGACAGCCAGCCCCATTTTTCCCCCAGGACGTCTTTGTGGCCCACCTTGGTGAGCGCGGGGAGGCGTCTGAGGCAGCCGAACAGGCCGCCTCCTTAGTGCAAGGAGGGAGGTGTAAGAAGCAGCGGCCTGCATCCTCCCTAAAGCAGGTGGCTGGTGCCGCTCTGAAGCGGGAGCTTGAGGGTAAGACGGCAAGACGGCCAAAGACTACGGAAGAAAAAGAACAGGGGGACTGGGCCCTCGGACAAAAAAAGATGTGCAAGCAGACTTTACACGAAAGCAAGCGGGTCAGAGTAGGAGGGGTTTAGGCTTTTAGGGTCTTTGGATAAACGTGGAACTGTCACTGTTTCTCTACCTGGCGGGGTTGTTGTGACTTTTGAGGAGCAAATGAGTAGGAAAGTTTGTATGTTCTCTGAGGAAGGCAGCCGCCCGCGCCTTTTGTTGTTTTTCTCCCAGTGGGGAGGGAAGAGGAGGGGACAGGAGGCAGCGATGACTCAGAAGCGCCCTTGTGGTTGCGTTGCACTGGGCCGCATTACGAGCCGACCCGGGCCGCATGCGGCCCACGGAATGTGGGTTGGACAAGCCTGTTCTAAGTGGTAAAAAGGAGTTGCTTTTCTGTCGCCATTGCATCAGCACAGAATTATCCAACAGAAATGTTCTGGATAGTCTCAGACCTTTTATATTCTGGTCTAGATGAAGAATCTGATGACTACTCAATAGTATTTTCATTTCTTTACTGGATCAATAACACCAGTACATTAATGACACCTGACTCTACCCTTCCTTTCTATCTAAATCCAACAAAGCTGCTCTAATTCCAAACCAGTATCTGATGTCGGTAATCAAGTGGAGGGGGGGCAGAGAGAGAATAAATTCTCAAAAAGACAGATGCTCCTGGTCAGCAACAACAGCAACAACAAAAAAGGTAAATCAGAAATAGGGACTTGACTGTCTGGCTGTATCACATTCCCCTTGAAAGATTCAGATTCCAAGCATGGAAGTACTCCCAGGTGACTCCTATGTGTGGGGAAGAGCCCTATTTGTTTCTATATTTTAACTGATTAGCCTTTTCAGTAATGTTTTAATAAAAACTTTGTTTCTAATGCTGTCATTTTTTTATATAATTTACCAAACATATCTCTTAAACACTGGGGCTAGCAGCCTTCTGCTTAGCTGAAAGTCCTGCATAATAAAATGGGAGTAATCTCATCTGCTCAAGTAACACCACCTTTCTTTCTCTCTTCCCCTCCTTATCTGTGTAAGGGTTCTGTGGAAGATGCTACTAAGGAGATGGAAAGCCCTGCTAAAAAACTTTATCTAAAGCACAGGTTCCCAACCTGTGACATGACTCCCAAGGGGGTCAACAAAGTGTTTTTTTGGGGGGGAGTCACCACAGTATTCAGAGGAGGGCAACACATTACCCTCGGCTAGTACCTTCCCTCCCCGGTTCCCTTCAGCATGCACCCTGTCCCCTCCCCTGATTGTCCCCATCCAAGCTAAGCTCTTTTCACTTCCCACTGTGGGGCTTTCTGGCACCTGGGCCTCCTGACCACTCACTCTGGTGCTGGCAGTCCTCCTCAGCTCTGGTGGCAAGGGACTAGAACGGGGAGGAGAGGTGGGCCCCAATCCCAGCTCCTGTGAGCCAGGCCGGCTGCAGCAAGGTTTGAGAAGTGAGGAGGCGGCTGCAGACTGGAGAGGAAGTGGGAAAAGTGGCAATGGAGGAGGAAAGAGCTACTGCCACTGAAGCAATTTTGCCACCTCCTCACCTCAGCTGGACACCACCATCACCCTCTTAGGGAAGATGGCTGAGGAGGCAGTGGTGGTGGAGCCACCGCTTTAAGGGAGGACCAAAAAAAGCAACAGTTCCCCTCATGAAGGTTAACTCACCCTTTGCACTATATATTTGGTTAGAATTAAATTCTGAAAAATCTACCCCATTAAAAATGCTTTTTTATGCAAATATGGTGTGGAGGTGACAAGTTACTGGTTATTATAAAAGTGAGTCATAACTTGAAAAGGGTCAGGA